TTAAAGAAAGAAAGAAAGGCCAAGCCAGGATTGGGAGGACGGCGTGCCCAGTGTGTGAGTGAGTGAGTATTCTTGATACGAAACCACGACGACACACCCCAGTCGACTCGCATCGGTTGCCTCCATGAACGGCGGAGCTATACTCGCGTTCACACCACACACCTGGCTCTACGCCGGCGGACGGCCACCATCGGTGTTTTTGGCTTCGCCACCGTTCAAAGCGTGCGCAATGCGCTCGCCGACATCAAGCGAGCACGCCTGTCCGACGAGCGGCTTCCTGTGCGGACGGCTTCTTGTGGCTCTCGTCGAGAGCGTTTTGCGACCCGGCGGGTGGGAGAATATGTGTCGTCTGATGTGTCACTGTGTACGTCACATCGGTCTTGATAATAAGCACGGTCGATCCGCCGAAGCGATACACTCGTTCCTATCACGTTGGACGGCTGGCACGGGAGCTCTGTGCCAGCAACAGGAACCGAGCCGTACGGCAAGAAGAGCTCGATGGGGAGCGAGAACCGTCAGAGGAGCTTCAAGGGTAACCTGAAGTCCTCCGTGACGCGCTCAATCGCTCCCAAGCGGGTGGCTCTCGAAAACCGTCGATATCTTCCGGAAAGACTGCTCTTGCCGAGCAGCCGATATGCCCAGACGGAGGCGCAGAAAGGCTGCGAGTACTCAACGAGTTCCGCGACCTACGCAGTCAAACCTGGGGGGAACTGACCGCACCATGGCGGACTTCCGAAACCTCCGTGAGCACCTCTGACGGTTCTCGCTCCCCATCGAGCTCTTCTTGCCGTACGGCGGTCTTCCTGATGCGTGCCGGCACAGAGCTCTGTGCAAGCCGTCCAACGTGACGTGACGAGTGTATCGCTTTGACGGATCGACCGTACTTGTTATCAAGACTGATATGACGTACACAGTGACACATCAGACGACACATGCTCTCCCACCCGCCGGGCCGCAAAACGCTCTCGACGAGAGCCACAAGAAGCCGTCCGCACAGCAAGCCGCTCGGTCGAACACGTTGCTCGCTCGATGCCGGCGAGCGCATTGCGCACGAGGTAGACGGTGGCGTAGCTAACATCACTGACGACGACCGTCCGCTGGCGTGAGCGGCGGCGATCGGTCCCTAACCTGCGGTCCTTCACCGCAATCGGTCCTTCGCGCTCGTCCCTAACCCAAAAAAGCACGATTCTGAAGTTGGGCCCTCAGCACGGGCTCGACGCACCTGGTAGCTGGTTCACCGTCGGCCGGCGGCGGCGCCGGGGGGGGTTGCCGTGTAGTTGTGTGCGTGATAATGTATGTATGTAACTAGTGAGACGATTTAGGTTTGGGGCAGGGCGCGAGTGTGAGACTTTTGCGGGCGAAATGCGGCGGGTTGGATGCGTCCTCTTTGGGACGACCTTGGGACGACCTGGCGGCGTGAGGCACACGGGCGCCGGCGTGGCGCGTTGGCTCGTGGCCCACCACGAGCGGATGCGCGACGAGCGCGCTCGGGAAGCGGCCGCGGGCGACGCGGAGCTTCCGCCGGAGGACGACGCGGTCGAGATGGCGAGCGCCGTCCACGTGCTGGACAGCGTGGCGGAGGTGGGCCCGAACTACTTACACCCTGCTGCGCAGCAAGGAGACGAAGGCGATGCGCCGGAAGCGAAAGCGCGAGGATGCCAGGGCGGCGCTCGACGGCCACACTGTCCTGTCCACCGGATCGCGCCTCGAGATCTTCTGCGACAATGAGCGGTGGTACCCTGCGACCGTCATGGCGCGGGAGGAGGACGGGGACGGACGGATCGTGGTTCGTGCACGAGGTCGAGTACGACGGCTACTGAGGGAGTGGGAAAAACTCTATAGTCGTGAGGGTGTATCCTAAAAGAGTTCGGCCGATTG